AGTATTGTACTAAAAACGTATTTGGAAAAGTACATTTTAAAAAAACTTGTATTTTGGTGCAGCACAGGAATTATTACAACTTTCTCTCGAGCTAGAAGATACTTAATTACATGATGCAGTGTTACTCTGAGTTGGCACTTGAACTTAGTCACATGGATACTAAAAGTAATTATCAAGTCTGTAATGTGTGGAAGGAGAGAACGATCCTTGTGCAATTGCTTTTTAGCTGTTCTGTGTTTATGTAATATTGGTAGTTTGAAAGAAATCCATGTTGTCACATTAAGTCTAGTTGGCATGTCATTGAAAAATGTGTCGGTTGATAGAGATTGCTCTAAGTAGCATTTTGCAAGAGGGAACATTAGATCTTTATAGTGAGAAAGTCTTCCCATACATTGTTGGGTACACACTGGGTTTCACCAAACAGGAACACTATATTGTTGAAGCAGCGCTGGGGAGCTGGGATTTCTCCTAGTATTGCTTAGTCCCTGCTGATATCTTCATGAACACAATTTCAGTCATGGCAAATGAGGTTCTTGAATTGTCTGCATGTGTTACTTGTATATTTCCTCTCTAATTAGCTGTTGACTTAAAGTTGCTTTTTAAGATCTGAAGAAATGACTCAAAACCAGAGGAGTCAACATAGTATAGTGTGTTGTTAGTGTGTGTTGTTTTGTCTTAAATACTGTTATATTGTGCTCTATGTTATGGGGTGCAAAGCAGAAAACCACTACTACAAAATGAAATATTCAGTGGTTGGTACCTAAAATGAATGAAGGTTATTACTAAATGTAAATTATGAAACATGGCCATGTAGTGAGCAAAGTTTGTAATGATACATGTTGAACATTGATTGCATTTCAGTCTGAGCTTTCTGTGTACTGGTTGCAATCTCATCAAATTCTTTTATAAGACTACAGGGAATTACTTCTTTCAAAAAAAGAGATTTAACAAGTTTTAGTACTGTAAAAGATACTTCTTGGAGGGGATTCACAGGTCTTTTTTTTCAACATTTATTAATATAAGTGTGTATGAAATTTGGCACTTATAGTTGCCTTTCATCGATGTATTTCCTTCATTATCTGAAATACAATGTACTAATCAAATGTATTAATCAATGTACTTAAATATTTAATGTTTTGTAGTAGTTCTCTATGGCAGTGAAAATAGACACTTGAATAATATTTTAAATATTCCTGAAGTAGAATTATTATTATATTAATAATAATTAATATAATATTATTATAGAATAATTATTATATTAAAAAGAGGACAGATATAAAGAGTTAGATCTACTAGACTGTTTCCATCTCTGTTTTCTTTTTTATAGAAAAGAGTCTAGGTTGAGCAGATGGCCGCCGTATCCTAGAATTGCACTGACTTCGTTTGGATAGGATTGGTACCATTCATTCTTGATGAAATGAGAAACCTGAGTTTTAGTCACAATGGCTGTGTTTTTTGTGGAGGGGAGAGATGTTTCTAGACTTGCTAAGCTGTGGGCATGGCCTGCATTGAAACCTCCAAAGAGGCTCTGTTGGGCTATACTGTTACTGATGGCAGATTTTCCTTCCTCCTGTTCAGTTTGCTCTCTTCCCTCTTCCTTGCAAAATACACATTCTCAATACAGGCACTAAGCGACCTGATAATGCACCTTACCCATATGGAACCCTGGCTGTTGCACCCAGGTTTTTCGCCTGTGAAGGGTTTCTTTTGCAGAGACTCCAGTATGCTAGGCTGTGTAGCAAATGGCTCACTGTGACAGGTTAGCACTTAGTCATGTCCAGTTTCATCCAAAGGGAATGGCATATTTGTTTGTAATCTGTTCCTGTCTTAGTTTAGATTATCAAGGCAATTCGGTATGTGGCTGTAGGTGTCAGTTGGTGTCATCCAGTTCGCTGGGAATGAAGAATGGATAGGCCCTCTCTGACAGTGGATGTGACTTTTATGTGTGAGAGAGTGTAGGATTAGTTCCACGGTATCATTATTATAATAAGCTTGTTGTTGCTGCATTTTGGTGCATACGTTCGTAGTTTTGAGTTGTGATTGATGGATCAGTAATAAATTTGCAGGGCTGCTCCTTCTGTGGTGGTGTTGGGGTGCAGAGAATTGAGGCAATTTATATGCTGGCACCAGACTGTTATAATCCTGGTATTGTAGCCGCTAGCATAATGGGAATACTGGACCACTTTATCTATATCACTAAAGAAAAATGAAAATATAGAAAGATAGTAATTGGAAGAGCTTTATAGTTTCAAGATTAACATTTCAGAATGAAGGAAACTTCAAACAGAACATGCAGATTTAATCATGACTTATATCTTATTTGTTGGAATACATAATAAGCAGAAAATAAGACAATTTAATTCTTCCTGAACATCATTACAATCACTTAGTTTCAATCAGTTTGTTGCCAAATCTCTGCCAACCACAGAAAAATCAAAATTTAACTCATTAACAGAAGTGTGATTTGATTCTAAGAATTGGATGGAAAAGGGATTTTAAAAGGCTTTTAGATATCATTCCATGTGACATGATAAATAAAATGAATGTATAGTGAACAGACGTTCATAAAGAATCATTATAAGATTGGATAAATTACTCCCTTGAGTTGAGCTCAGCTACAGATGAGTGCATTAGATATGGACAGTCTGTGTCTTCTTAGCAGCAGTCTGGAAGTGGCTAGCTGTCTTGCGGGGTGCTTTTTGACTTCCCAGTCTAGCCTAGAGCTCTGGGAAATCCTGGTGGTATCCTATCCAAGGTCTAACCAGGCCCCATCTCCATTTAGCTTTTTGGAGATCAGCCAAGGTTGGCTTGATGATAACACTTGCTATGGCATTCATCTAGATAAAACTACATTTAAAAGCAATGGTTGTTTCATTTAAAGGGATAGTTTTAAACTGCTATATATTGGTTGCTGGGGTTTTTTTTAGATTTTTTATCCTGCTTTTATTATTTTTATAAATAACTCAAGGTGGCGAACATACCTCATACTCCTTCCTCCTCCTATTTTCCCCAGAACAATAACCCTGTGACGTGAGTTGGGCTGAGAGAGAGTGACTGGCCCAAAGTCACCCAGCCGGCTCCATTACCTCTTTATAAGTACTCATACCATGAAAATTATCAGGGTAACTACTGGGTGTAAGTAGTAAATCCAGGTATGATTGAACTCCAGAAATTATAAATAAGGTAGAATCTGGTCTAATGCTTAACAAGAAAAATCAAGGATAATAAAAGCATTACAAATGAGTTCTGTTTCAGCACCTTACACAATATGGTCTCCAGCAGATTCATGTACAGTGTTTCTTTTAAAAGCCACAAGGAAGAAAAAAATTAGTAAACTAGAAATGTTTATTGCTGGATTGTTTCTCAAAATGAAAAAAGCATTCTCTGATATCCAAAATAAATTTACCTTGCTTCAACTTCAACATGGCTGTTTGGTTTTTCCCCTCTCAAGGGCCCCTTGTGATGAGCTGTTCTCCCTCTTCCATTTGGCACCTTTTAAATCCTGCTGTCACAGCCCAAACCTCCAGTTTTCAAAAAGTGCCGTTGCTTATTCCAACCCCTCCTAAGAAAAAGTTTGCTGTGTAGCAAGCAAACCAAGAATCGAACAATGCCTCAATGTATCTGAAACAAGAACGCCAAGTTCTTGTAGTGGATTACTGTCCACCAGAACAAGTAGGCCAAATCAGACATCACATTTCAAAATCGAGATAGAGATTGCTTTAATTAAAAAGTAAACTATCCTTATTTTGTACCCTGCCGGATGTACAGAATCACCAGTACATGTGATGTGATGTGTCAGAATTCTCAGTAATAGCCCGACTGGCGCTGGAATTCTGGGAGGTGACGTCCATACATCTGATGGACACTCAGGTTGGAGAATGTTGCCTAAAATAATCCTTGGACCCAGAGTGGGCCAGGGAGAAGCACTCCAGAACAATTTTTCAGAATAAATAATACATCCCTTTGTGGCTGTAATCTCTTTTCTGCTTTTTGGAAAGCGAAACATGTGGTCCGCTACTATCCATTACCTTGGAAACAATATGAAAGAACAAGCTGTTAGTGGTAGTAATGTAACTTTAATCTATTATCTGTTGTGACCTCTTTCTTTCTTTTAAGGATATTTATTACTTTAAGGTCAGAGACCAGCTCACATTATCAAAAAGCAAAATAGAAAGGAAATAAGTAGATGATTCACATGTATTTGCATAAACCATTAGGAAAGTTTAGGATCAGAGTTTGAAATCTAGAAAAAAAAACATGCTGAAAAAAAAGGGGGGGTTAGAGAGAAATCTCTCTTTTTTCATTCAAGATGGAAAAGGCTTAATAGTAAAATCACAAGATTGGTTCTGGTGCCCACCCAGCCCACATGATCCAGGTCAACATACTTCATAGATTATGGGAGTTGTTGTCTAACATATTTTGAGTGGCTAGGGTGGGGAAGGTTGCCCTAAAGTATCCCTTTGGTAACTTACTATTTTTGACAGAATATTTGAGTATTTCAGCGGAACTGATAAATTAAGACATCACAGAATAATAGTTTTTTCCTATGTGCATCGTTCACGGTAGTGCAGATGGAATTAAATAATGTCTGTTGTACCAAAGCCATCTAAGTTTTATTTGTAGGTAAAACCCCATCTTTTTTGTTAAACAACGTGTAGTGGTGCTTTGGATTGAGATTCGTTTGGAATTAGAAATAGTTTAGGAACGTGAAAATGGGGGGAAGCGAACAAAGATGTTAACTTCTGTTTTCAGAAATGAATCCCCCCAGTACGTTGATTTAGCTACCCAGCTTAGATTCTGTCAAAAGCCGCTGGGTGTTTCTTTCTCCTCCTCCAGTTCTGTAGTGGCAGCTGTGCTTCCTGTAAGGGCAGAGGCTGACATGGCCCCTTCTGTGCCGTCTTCAACAACTCCTCCTCCTCTGTCTTGCTTTCAGACTCTCTGTGCATTTAGAGCCTGATCTTGTGCAGAAAATATCCCTGACATTTGAAGAGCTCCAGGGATTCAGCGAGCATGCTCAGTCCCGGCTGACTGCTAGAAAGAGGAAGCTAGTTTACATAGGAGTCATACCAAGCATAGCCTGCATGTCAGCGCAGTTAACTTGCAGCGAGCTATGAGGAGAATTAGCATGTCTTTGTCCTAGGAAGCCTCGGCTCTTCCAGGCCTTACCCTCCCCCAGCGCAATTTTAGTGGCGACGGTGGGCATAACCTACTCTCCGCTTTCTGCCTCCAGATCTGAAGCTCCCGAAAGGGGATTTTTTTCCTCCTGCCCGCCTCTTTTTCCCCCGCTCCATTTTAATATACTTTTGTTTTGATTAATTGGAGGCTGGGCCTTGAGCTGGTGGAACTTGGGAAAGAGCCTGGAGCATTTGCCTGTGTTCTTGCTGCTGTTGCGGGGCGAAAGCAAGCAAGCTGGTCTTCTTTGCTAGCCCGCTAAATGCTATTTATGAAGATGGACCTGTTGAACTACCAGTACTTGGACAAGATGAACAACAATATCGGCATTCTCCGCCAATATGAAGGTAACTTATGATGCCTGTTGCCTGCTGCTTTTTTTGTCTTCCCTTTGTAAAGCCTCCTTTAAGTTTCCTTTGACTTGGTGGCTTTGGCTGTGGGGTGATTCCCCCCCCCCATACAGTTGGGTCCAGGAAAAAAAATTACAATATTGATTCTTTTCGATGAGAAATATTGGGGTCTTTTTTCTTTGCACTCCTTCTCACAGTGGGCACAAGCTGCATCATGCTAAGACAGCAAATATTATTATAGATGAAATGTTAATAAATTTTATTTCGTTGTGCCGGGAGACTTTGATTTCCTGTTTCTGTAGCCACTGAAAGCTTTCCTGTGCCTGGATGATTGTCTCTTGACAATATACATGACTTCTACATGCTTCCTTCCTACATTAAGTGCAGATGAATGGCAACAATGGCTGAGTGCTAGGATGGCAAGTTGTTTTTGCCTCAGATCGGTTGCTGGTTGTAGGGCATAATAAAGTTTTTTTTAATTACTCAGCTCCTGGGATTGAAGGGTGTCTGTATTACAGAATACAGAGTGGCCCTTTGTTTGACTTCTCATTTCCTGTATAGCCCTGAGAAAGCTCTGACACGGAGAACGGACTCCCCTCCCCTCCCCTGGTGCCACATCTCCTCCCTCCAGATCTGCCCCATCAGTCTGTCCCTTGCTGAAAAAGCTACACAGCTGCTAGAAACCTTGCTTTCTGGCCGCCTTCTGGGTGGCTTCACCTCTCTCCCTCTCTACATCTGTGTGTGTGCTTTGCTGACATGGATTTTTTTCCCTTACCAATACTCAAATGTTGCAGTGGCATTCCCCACTCTCACCCCTGCTCGATCCTGGTTATAAAGGAGGCAGAACTTTGCTGCTTTTTAACAAACTGAGTTTTAGTACGTGCAGTTTGAAGAGGCTGTAATGGCTTGGCTTAGGAAGGAAGGAAGGAAGGACGGACAGACAGTCGGACGGACTAGTTCTGGTTGGCAGTAGGGCTGATTTTCTGTTGGTGTGTGTGCAAGTACCAACAGACAGACAGATACACAAACATCGCACAGGTCTCTTAATCTCTCCCTTTTCTGGTTTTTCAGTTTGAAATTCTTCTCACTTTATAGAGATCTCTGGAGAATTTGTTGAAGATAGCGAAGTATAAATCTGCTAAGGATAAAGAAAACAAAAACAAATGAGGCCTCACCAAAATGCTGGCATTGGAAACATGTCAGCTGGAATCACAAGGCCTGCCTTTTCAATAAATTAGGTACTCCTTAGAATCTAGAAATGGGTCTGCAATCTCCTGCTTTAAAATAGAAAATATTAGAGGTGACTGTGGGAGAAGAGGTTATCTTATTCGGGATGCTTTCAGAGAGTTCTTGTTAAAGCCTGGCACCTTCCAGATGTGCTGGGAATTCTGATAGCTGTAGCCCCAGGACATCAGTTGGGGTGCCAGGTTGCAGGTTAGTTCCTCCTCTACAAGTTTGCCAACTTCCTTTCTTTATAAAAGTTAATGGCTTGGCGGAACCTGCTAGTAGTATTTCCCCTTTAAAGAGCCTTTTATTTGTTTAGGCGGAGTGCTATTGCTATTTAATACTTTACCTCTTTTGCAAAAGGTCAAGAAAAATGCAACTAAATTTAAACATTTAGAAAGTGAAAATAAGAACAAAGTAAGGTTATAAAGTGTCCGTGGGTGTGTACATTTTCTTCTACTTTAAAGATGTAAGTATTACCACATGTACCTAGAATATTGAGAGATCTTCCATGCTACTGTCATAAGCTATAGGGTCAACAGGATTAGGATCATGAGTGCAATATAATAATTTTTAAATCTTTTAAATTTCACTGATCTTAAAAAGAGATAACTGACTCTCTTGCTGGAGGAGAGGGAATAATATGTACTCTCTTTTCTTCCTTGACCAGATGCTCTCCCAACATGTTGGGCTCCAGCTCCATTTGCCATGCCATGGATGATGGCAGTTGAGGGCCAGTGCATTTGGAGGGTATGGGGTAGGGAAGTTCCCTCTTAAACAATTAAAGAATATCCTTCAGAAATAAATGCTGTTCTTGTTGTTTATTTTTTAACTTAATTGAGACTAATTTCTCAGTTTACACATTTATTACAAGAGAGTTTTATTACAAGAGAGTTTTATGGTGTAAAATTGTCACAGCAACTAGAATTAGAAAAATACCTGAAAGAAAGGTATTTCCTTAAGGAAAACTAAACAGATATTTGAATATAACTGCCTTTGGTGTTGTTTAATATCTGTTCTGCTTAATTTGAAAAAAAATATCTTTGAAAAGGAACATAGCTTGCTACATTATTATTACCACAAATGCTTCCAGAAAAGGGCCTGGAATATTCTGAGACTTTCTGTAAGAGAGAATCATCATTGTACTAGAAAGCAGAGCAGTGGAGGATTCTGGAACCCTTCAGATAACTTTACTATACTGAATTTTCCATGTAGAAAATACACTAATGTACATAAAGAACACATGAGCAACATAAAAGTGACACACACCCTTCTGGATAATATTCTTTTATGAACCTAGTCTTTAAATTGCAAGTAAACTCTTCAGAGACTTCCAAGCAATCCATCTTTCTTGTCTGATGTGTATGCAGTTGTTCACCTGAATTAGGGATCCAGATGTCTGAAAGAGCACTTTTATTGTAGGGATATTGCAGTACTCACACAAGTAATAGGTTGTTCCTTATCAGAATGGTATTCTCATCCCCACTTCCCAGACTTCAGTGAACATTATAATGGTTAACATCATTGCCGTATGGGGGAAAAAATATTACTGCACTATGGGAGGTAAATGGGGACCAAAGCCATACTTCTTACTTCTCCCTGTGCCATTTTTTTAATTATTCATTTTTAAATATACTGGTTGTGGGTTCTCCTGCTTTACACCTCAAGGGCAAGACTGCTCAATAAACTATATGGCAGTTTTCTTCTTTGTTTTTTCCAGTATTTTAGTGCAGGCGCACTCCTTGGTATCCAGCCACATGGATAGCTGTTTTTTGTTTGAAAAAAGATAACTGAACTGTCCTTTGCTGTCTTCTCATGTTGCTGTTGCAGGATTCATTCATAGATTGGCTATGATGATATGGGGAAAAGCGTAATAAAATATAGTGGGGGACACAGTGAACTTTTGAGCACTCAACATCACATTAACAGTATGCATAGAAGTAGCACCAGATTTGAATCCCACCAAGTCGTCTTTGATGGCCTTCCTATGAACTTTCTATGGCAGTTGGATAGGTAGTGACATGTAGTAGAGGATGTAATTCCAAGAAAAGTGCTGGGTCTGTTGCCCCCATCTTAATTTCTCCAGAATTCTCAGGATCTGGAAGTTTTCTGGGGAAATCCATATGACAGCTAATATTGCTACTTTGCCCTGTTTTTTGCTCTGAAATGCTGGAGGTGTAATTTTTAATTTAAAAATTTAAAACTAGGCCAAGATAGGTAGCAGTGCAGCTGATGTTTGCAGTGTCATGCCAGCTGCTGAGGCCGAGACTGCATAGTTCCAGTTTGTTGTTTTGTTTAAGTGTGTTAAGTTACTACTTAATTGTAATTACAGAAATGCATACTACAGGCTTCATCTCTTTTGAGATGTGGATTCAAGCCAGAATCCAGTGAAATACTTGTTGTATAGCTGTGGGCAAAATGCTGTGCATTTATCACAAGTTTCATCTGTAAAATGAGATTTGTATTCATGGATTTTATTGTAAGAGTACAGATCTGGTGAGGTTTTGGGGAGGGATCTCAAAATTTCAGTGGTAATTTTGATTAATGTAATTCATTCCTGCTGATTTTTATCTGGATATACACAAAGACTGTAGAACGCTGTGCAAATTATGCATGCAGTCCAATTGAAAAAGCCCTGTTAAAAAAAGTGGGAGGTGGGCAAGGCAGTGTAGCATACATGCTATTTTTGTTTGTGGGACCTTAAATAGTGCTTTAAAGTGGAAAGTGATATGCCAGATTTTGAAAAGTTTCAACGGTCCATGCTACACTCACTCACTTTAGAGTAAGATTAGATTTTTTGCAAATAGAGTGAAACTGGAGGGATGGTACGTGCTTCTATCAAACTTTGGATCTGTTTTCCCAGAGAGAGAGAGTACCCAAGAGAGAACTAGATCCAAAAGTGCTTTTAACTCATGGCTTGTTCTGCTTTTCTCTCTGTGCTTGGGCCCTTCCTTGTGGGGCTTTGGGATTGCTCCTGGATTGCTGCCTCATACCAGAATTCATACCCTGTCATTCTCCTCGAGGAACCATGTTAATTTTCTTCTGGTTTGGCTGTGGCACAGCTTAAATTGCAACACTTCCATTTTGAACCATTGTTATTCATTAATTACTGCCAACCCCTGCTTTGTGGCTTGGTGGCCCTCCTTGCTCCAGAGCACCATGGAATCTTTATATCATGATTCAAGGCTTTTTTCAGGTAGTCTGGTTTTATTTTTGTCTTAACCTTGAAGACTCATATTGGAACAACTTATATCACTTGTGTGATTGCAGTAACTTAAAATAGAATGGGCCTGGTTCCACATCTGTGGAATTTTAAAATAAATCGTAAAGCAGCGTAGGTGTAAAATACATGTTAAGAGAGATTTTTTCTACCTGTAACCATATGCCTACAGGTGAAGCAAACTTCTTCATAAGTGTGTACCATTAGATGGAACCATTCTGGTGCTTGTGTGGACATAATGGGATCTGTCCTTCCTTACTACAATTATTTTTTGTAACGTAATATTCTTGGAACTATAACTTGAGCAAGAAATAAGAAATGGGATAAGTTGAGACAATTCCCTTTAAGCATGTTTTGAGGCCCAAAATAGTGTTATTTCTACTACATTTTACATAGAGTAGAAAACTGGATTTTATAACAAAAGAAATTAGATCCATATGTGAAGATCGGGACCGCTATTTTTTTCCTCCATTTTTGCATGACAGCTCACACTACTTAGTTGCATATTACATAATTACTTTACTTACTTCCTGTAACGATGAAGCATTAGTTG